TTTTAAAAACGTTGACTGGTTAAACCTTGTTATTCTGTGTGTTGGTTTGCGTGTACATATATTTGTACACGTGCGTATGTGTTTGTGCGTGCGTGCGTGTGCATGCGTGCGTGTGCATGCGTGCATGTGCGTGTTTCTGAGTGTGTGTGTGTGTGCGTGCGTGCGTGTCTGTGTGCGTAAAACCCATCACCTCAGGCATTTTTTCCACAAAATGCAGAATGATGAAGTTCTCATCAAATCCTCCGACACCCACCGGAAGTTGATTTGTTTTTCTGCGGCTTACGACTTCCGGTATCTGCATGATGTCATCTCTCACTGTGACGTCAAGATTTACACTGTCATGGCTCATTTCCCGTCATACGTTCACATAATTCATCTTACCTTACGAAAACTAAGAAATATTTACTCAAGGAATTGATGAAATTATTAATGTATAGTCTATGAGTTCTGAAAATTCTAACCCGTAAATCTCACAGTTTATTTGGTACTACTAAAAAAAAGTCAATATCCAACGTAAGTCCGAATTGACTAGTTGGTCAAATTATCCAAACCATGTACTTGTGGTAAAGGCGGTTAAATGGCCGCAACTCCTAGCTTCCAAAAAGCCGTTCTTTTTTTTTTTTACGTTAGTACTTCATATTTTTACAAGGATTATTTTGGTAACGCCACCCCACCACTTTTAAAATACTACAACTGTCATAAATGGTCAACTTACTGAGAAAAAATACGAAAATAAACGCTAATTTTACATTGCTAACAATAAATAAGTTATTAATTTTCAGAAAAGAAAAATTTAATTGTTTCATCGACTTAACTGTTAAAAACAAGAATTTTATTGTTTCATTAACTTATCTTACAGAAAAAAAAAAGAAAAGTAAAAAATTTTGCTGTGAGTAAAATGTCAAAAAGAAGAATGTGATTGTTTCATTAACTTTAAGAAAAAAAAAAAGAAAAGTACAACTTTTGTAAGTAAAATGTTAGAAATGGGAAATTGTCTTGTTCATCGTTTTGGGAATTCCCGTGAAATGGAGATATTATTTAATCCATTACCAGTAATGGACGCCTCAAATCCCTGGTGAATACCTGACTCTTCCTGACCTAGATTTGACATCGTTTGACCTAAATGTCAATGTGGTATTACGTCGCAAAAGAGTTTTTAATACACAAGAAGCTCCAAGCGAAATATGTTAATTTTGTTGGGGTCATCAGGTCATTAGGGGTTCGACCCGGCTTCCTGTGACTGTTTATCTGGGTCAAGTATTAATGGTATTAGTTATGAAATGTAGGTAGGCGGAAACTATATTTAGGGATCAGGGGTGAACGTCCGCCATATGTCAGTCAACGTAAGGTCTGGGTCTTGATCTGTAATCAGCAGAGTGGTTATGTCATCATTCACTGTAACCTGGGTAATTACATCGCTTACAGACATTCACATAGATGAACAAATACATGCATATACACAGATATACACTGGCACAGACATCAATATAAATACAGAGATAAACATATACACATACACAGAGATAAACAAACATATACATAGATACATAGACCCAGACCCAGCGGTATTTTATTATTTATTTTTTCCAATAAAAACGTCCTAATGGAAGAAATGCCGATAAGCACCATGGCTGACAGAGACTAAATGCCGAAAGGTAGAGCGTTTATCTACCTGCCTGGAAGTCTGGAGTTCGGTAGCTGGGTAAGATTCGCCACGAAAAACTGCGCAACGGAAAACTGCGCACAAAAATGTGCGCAAGGGTATTTTTTTCTTCTTCTCAAATCTAGCATTTATACACATTAACAAAGAATTACTACATGTACATTTTAGCATAATAAAACATATTTCCACTAAATATGACAAAAATAAAGTGTATTAATATTATTAGTTTGTATGTGCGCATTTTATTGTTTGCGCATTTTTCCGATTGCGCATATTTCTGGGAACCCTCTGTAAGATGTGCCCAATGTCACCCAGCTCAGAAGAGGTACCTGGGCCAAAATAGGGAAGTTTAAACCCCCCCCCCCCCCCCCCCCCCGAAAAAATTCTACCGCCCCCCCCCCCCCCTTCCCCCCGAACGAAATGAAATTTATATGATTTATATAGAAAATATATACTTTTAAAAGTGTCCGCCCCCCCCCCCCCTGAAGAAAGTCTACCGCCCCCCCCCCCCCCCCGAAAATTTCAAGTGCCCCCCCCCCCCCCCCCGGAGAAAAAAGTCTGGAAGAAACACTGAACGGGTCAACTCTACTTCATCTATTTATTCAAACCGTCATCTGAAAGAGAGGATGAATGTGATTTGCTTTCCATGTTTTAACAAAAGTGACAGATGTTTTTTTCTTTCTAATTCTTACCCTTAAGGTCAAGGAAACGTAGTCTATAAAAACTGTCATAGTTTATCCTTGTTGGGGCGCTCGCTAAGTGTGGGAGAGAGTTATTGAAATAACATATTTATTAGAGTGATCTCCCCTGACCCACGTGACGGGAGCGTAATGCACCATGTGGAGGCGGGTGAGGTCATGTGATCGAACAACATGATGTTCTGACGTGGGAGGGGCATGTTAATGTCAAGGACGTCATCGGTTCAAAAAAATTTGGGACGACAGTAAGTGAGTAAGTGAGTAAGTGAGTAAGTGAGGGAGTGATCCAACAAAAAAATTTGGGACGACAGTAAGTGAGTAAGTGAGGGAGTGATCCAACAAAAAAATATGGGACGACAGTAAGTGAGTAAGTGAGGGAGTGATCCAACAAAAAAATTTGGGACGACAGTAAGTGAGTAAGTGAGGGTGTGATCCAACAAAAAAATATGGGACGACAGTAAGTGAGTAAGTGAGGGAGTGATCCAACAAAAAAATATGGGACGACAGTAAGTGAGTAAGTGAGGGAGTGATCCAACAAAAAAATTTGGGACGACAGTAAGTGAGTAAGTGAGGGTGTGATCCAATGAAAACAAGTTAAAAATAGAGTTAATGGAATGGGTTGAACTTAGTGCTGGGTCATGACGGTGTGTCAACAATGGCAGTAGGGTGGGTGAACTACATCATGATAGATTGGGTGAACTACATCATGACAGATTGGGTAAACTACATTGATTGGGTGAACTACATCATGACAGATTGGGTGAACTACATTGATTGGGTGAACTACATCATGATAGATTGGGTGAACTACATCATGACAGATTGGGTGAACTACATTGATTGGGTGAACTACATCATGATAGATTGGGTGAACTGCATTGATTGGGTGAACTACATCATGATAGATTGGGTGAACTACATCATGACAGATTGGGTGTACTACATTGATTGGGTGAACTACATCATGACAGATTGGGTGAACTACATCATGACAGATTGGGTGAACTACAAAATGAGTTGGAAAAATAAATTGAAATCTTGAGGGGGGTGCAAATCGAAAGTTTGTCCCCGGGCGCCGGGAAGGATCGCTACGCCTCTGCTGTAACATATAACAACTCTCCCAACGTAACTTTTGTTACAATGTGCAGTGGCAAGTCAGGATATTCTCGGTCATTGACTCGTGGATTCAAAGTCTGGCTAAAAATTCCTTTATTTTGTTTTAATGTAATGAAATCCCGCGGGGTATTTCAACGGACAAACTCATGTATCTTCATTAGAAAAATGGCTGAACTCTCCTTGCGCTGAATGGCTGCTATAATCACATGACATGGCTGCTATAATCACATGACATGGCTGCTATAATCACGTGACATGGCTGCTACGATTTATAAGACTTACATGTATTTACCACCCACCAGAGAGCATGATACGAGTTAACTCCACCTTAAATTGGAACAAAATAATTTCAAGTAAAAACTGTCAAACGAATCAATTTGTCGTTGGTTTGTTTACTTTTTTGTGTTCTACAACTAATTGTTGGTAGACGTGATGATGGTTTTACAATCTGCCAACCGTGCGGAATAGCTGGATACTTCTTCACCGTCTTCGTCTGGTGTTTGTGTTTGTTATTTGGTGAAGAGGCAAACATGATTTTTATCGACAGGATGAGAATAGTGTATAAACAAGCTGTTGTCTAATCAGGTTGTTGGGGAAAAAAAGAACTTAATCATCGATTTACAATCTTCAGAAAAGCCTGATCAATTATTAAATAGAGAACGAAGAAAAGAACGCACTAATTAACTGTGTGTAGTTTAATTATTAATCTATTTTTAAATTAAGTGCCCTTGCAGGTTTAAATACTTTTTTTTCTGCGCGAACTAGTATTGTTATGTACCCACACCTTGCGGGTTACCTACCCACACCACAGCGGGTTACCTACCCACACCCATCACGTGACTTAACGACACCAGGTAACCCACCCCGACCACGCCGCTGTCAGAGCTAAAGAACCGTGGGTGGTTCTATTAAAGTCATGACGTCACGGGCAAGCAAACAGAGAGACGATGTTGAGAAATCGTGACTTGGTTCCGACACTGAGAGTTATTTCCCTTAGATTAAAGGGAAACAATGCAAGCACAAAAGTTTAATTTTCTTCCGAGCAGCGTGTTCGTTTGTTAAATACTCGACACGTGCGAAGTGAACTTGTGGGTGAGTAGATGTCTGTGACATCGAGGGATTCTGAAAACATGACGTCATGAGTTTTTTTTCTCTCATTACTCTAAACTGGGTTTAACCAGAGACGGGTTTGGAAGATTTGGGAAAACCCAATGTGCTAAAGATAGCTGGTGACGTAGTTTCAAGAAAGCCATACAATAATGTAGCTTCGAGAAAAAACAAACGTTAATTAATTAACTCCGCAGACGTCTTAGTGTCTTTAAACAGCCGTTCAAATAGGCATCTCGAGACTAAGAGTAGGACTAGAATAGGTTTTACATTCGTGTCATTGTGTAGGCAATGTCAGTTTAGCAAGCCCAAGAATTGGCCAACAAAGATGGTCATTTTTGGACAGAGCGCAAATACAGCTAGTACTGGAAGTAGTTAGGATGTTGCTGTAGCCCTGTTAGACATGGGTATGTTCTCTAACACATTTGAAATTTGTCTCCATGGGACTGTCTCCATGGGACTGTCTCAATACGCCTGTCTCCATGGGACTGTCTCCATGGGACTGTCTCAATGGGTCTGTCTGGACTGTCTCCATGGGACTGTCTCAATACGCCTGTCTCCATGGGACTGTCTCCATGGGACTGTCTCAATGGGTCTGTCTCCATTGGACTGTCTCCATGGGACTGTCTCAATACGCCTGTCTCCATGGGACTGTCTCCATGGGACTGTCTCAATGGGTCTGTCTCCCTTGGACTGTCTCCATGGGACTGTCTCAATACGCCTGTCTCCATGGGACTGTCTCCATGGGACTGTCTCAATGGGTCTGTCTCCTTTGGACTGTCTCCATGGGACTGTCTCAATACGCCTGTCTCTATGGGACTGTCTCCATGGGACTGTCTCAATGGGTCTGTCTCCTTTGGACTGTCTCCATGGGACTGTCTCAATACGCCTGTCTCCATGGGACTGTCTCCATGAGACTGTCTCAATACGCCTGTCTCCATGGGACTGTCTCCATGGGACTGTCTCAATACGCCTGTCTCCATGGGACTGTCTCCATGGGACTGTCTCAATACGCCTGTCTCCATGGGACTGTCTCCATGGGACTGTCTCAATACGCCTGTCTCCATGGGACTGTCTCCATGAGACTGTCTCAATGGGTCTGTCTTAATGGGTCTCAATTGGTCTGTCTCCATTCGTCTGTCTCAATGGGTCTCTCCCCATGGATCTGCTTGACCATCTCAACACCCTACCCCCCCCCCACCCCACCCACACAAACCAGACTAAAATTGTGTAAACAAATTCCACAAGGATGCTAGTAAAAACTACATACTTCTTAGCCCCGACAACAGTTATTTATAATTAATGACGTCATTTTGTTCGCGGTGAAACTGATGCAAAAAGTTAACAAAACCGGACCAGGCTAATTATTCTCTTGAAATCTGTGAGCAGAGTAAAAGAATGTACTCACTCTATGACGTCATGCATGTTTCATACGCTAAATCAGATTGTGATTGTTATGATATTTGCTTTTAAAAGTTTACCAGTCTGTGTCACACAAAGGCACAAGTTTCAATTCTTTTAGCACTTCGTCTGTGTGGCACAAGTTCCACACTTTCAAATGTTCTAGCACTTCGTCTGTGTGGCACAAGTTCCACACTTTCAAATGTTCTAGCACTTCGTCTGTGTGGCACAAGTTCCACACTTTCAAATGTTCTAGCACTTCGTCTGTGTGGCACAAGTTCCACACTTTCAAATGTTCTAGCACTTTGCCTGTGGCACATGAAGGCACAAGTTCCACGCTGAGAGAGTTGTGTGTGGGTGTTGTTGGAGTTGTTCAGGTTGTGAAGTGCCTTTGTGAAGTGACACGGCAAATTAGGTACGTCTGAAAACCGAAATTTTAGGGGGGAGGGGGGAGTAGGGGCAAAAATCTGTGTACTATTGTCAAAATATATAAAAAAAATTGTTTGGTCTCTGTTTTTGCTGAGTGGTAGAATTTTGAAGTTTTAAAAACTTTTTTCATCACTAATTCCAAAACTGAATGATTTGTTATCGATTTTGGTGGTCCAATTATTGCGGTTGTTCTCAGGTTTGGGTCTCTACTGATTTTTTTAACATTGGGCAACAAGACGTACTGCACGGGGGTGGGGATTTTGTGGTAGAGTGGGGTGGGGGGGGGGGGGGGGGTCATACGACTTCTGTACCAAGGGTGGGGACTGTGGGGGAGGGCGGGGTGGGGGGGGGGTCATACGACTTACTGTACCAGTGGTGGGGATGGTGGGGTAGAGTGGGGCGGGGCGGTCATAAGGGAGAGCCTTTGATTGGCAGACATTGCCGTGTGGTTAAATATTTGATTGTAATCTGAGTGTCTGGGAGGCGGGAGGCGTGACGTCATATCCTTTATTCACAAGTGCGCCAAGGCCAACGTTTCTGGATGAAACGTTTCAATGACGGCCAAATGTCACCAATGTCACAGACGAATCAAGGATGACGTAGTGCTGTCAAGGCTGTTTGATAAATTGTGTGGTTGTGTGATTGTGTGACAAATCAAGGATGATGTCGTATTATCACTTCTGTTTGATAAATTGTGTGATGGTGTGATTGTGTGACAAATCAAGGATGATGTAGTATTATCACTTCTGTTTGATAAATTGTGTGATGGTGTGATTGTGTGACAAATCAAGGATGATGTAGTATTATCACTTCTGTTTGATAAATTGTGTGATGGTGTGATTGTGTGACAAATCAAGGATGATGTAGTATTATCACTTCTGTTTGATAATTTATGTGAGCTGGCAGAGATATGTGCGGGTAAATCAAAATGGGACCTGCTCTACGGGTCACTGAGGTGCAGGTTGGGGGGGGGGGTCAATAGACCTTCTCCACTATAGGTCACTGTGGTGGAGCAGATCAGCTGAAACATGCCACTACAGGTCCAGTGAGTTGTGGAGGTCAATAGACCTTCGCCACACAGGTGTCTGGGGATAGGGCAAGTGAGTCAAATATCCACATCAACTATAGCGACCATCCACACTGACCATCCACATCAACTACCAACATTTTGAACAATCATACCAAACAGCTAGACAACAATCTCAAGAAAAAACAAACTTTCACAGCTAATCTTTAAAAACGGCTTGTGTTAAAATGACATAGGTGGGCGTCTCATCAGAATTCTAATTAACTCTAATTAAGCCGCGGTCCTATCTTGGTATATTGTCTTCAACTTTAAAAAGAAATTTCTGGAAAAATGTCCTTGAAAAGAAATCACAAACATTTAATTATTTAAGTTGGCTTATTAAATTACAAATCAATTGTTGTTTTTATTGAAACGTGCTACATTGCAATCGTCTAAGCTCGAGTTTTTAATCTTGAAGACGTCAGTGAAAGTTTGTATAACAGAAATAATTAAACTTGAGGACTAAATGACAATGTAAGATTATCCCAGTTCTCAGATTTTTTAAAAAATGTATTCATTCAATTACAGCACAAATAAGTGTTAGTTGGAGTTTTAAGTTCAGTTTTTTGTTTTATGTAGGAGTTGGGCTTAATTCGGATAATTCAGTAAGTCTCCGTTTTCGTATGTAGGAGTTTATTTGTTATTTGACCAGTAGTGTGACCAGTGCTTGGTACAGAGTTTGGTCAGTAGTTTGACCAGGTTATTCATTCCAGGGCACGTCTCCAGGTCTTTCTTGGTCGGCCTCTTTTCCTTTTACCCTGTGGATTCCAGGTGAGGGCATGTCTTGTTATGCTGAATTCAGGTTTCCTAAGTGAGTAGCCAACACATCTCAATTTTTTTCTGGAGGATTTCTTCTACCGCTAGCATCTGTCTTGCCCTCTGCCGTATTGCTCATTCCATAACACACATTAGGGAAGTAATACGCACATTCTTACATATAATTTGGAAATATTATTTCACTTACAGATGGTATTCATGCGTAGGCTGTTACAAACAAAATAGAAAGATTACTTATGTTATAAGGGGGTAAACCTGGGGACAGTTGGAGAGACTAGCCTGGATACACCTGGGGATAGTTGGAGAGACTAGTCTGGATACACCTGGGGACAGTTAGAGAGACTAGCCTGGATACACCTGGGGACAGTTGGAGAGACTAGCCTGGATACACCTGGGGACAGTTGAAGAGACTAGCCCAGGACAGCGATGTCTGAAAAGCTCTTGTCAGCGGCCTATGTCCAATAACATACATTCCGTATACATATCTTCTTCTTATGTCTGAATACTCCACCCCCCCCCCCCTTTCCATTATATGTAGGAGTGTATGCATAACTGTAATAACCCACCCCTCATACACACACATACACACACATACACACACAGACATGTAGAGAACAACGTATTTTACTCCCAATGAAATTTGACACTTATCCCTTCTTCTACCCCTAACCCCAGTTAACCTAAAGTTACACACACCCCTTCTTCCGCCTTTAGCACCTGTTAAACTGGTTACCCCCCTCCCCCCCCCCCCGTCCTTCGTCCACCCATTATCCCAGTTAAACTGAAGTTAACCCCCCCCCCCTTCCTTTCCTCCGCCCCTAACTCCAGTTAAACTGAAGTTACCCCCCCCTCCGAAATTGACGTCACCAGGAGAACAGGAAACAGCTCATTGGTGAGCGTGGATGACAAGGGCACGTGCCGACAAGAGCACGTGACATGCCCTTGGAGGGGGGAGGGGAAACTTGTCAAACAAGGTGAAGATTTTGTTACCTCCCTTCGTGTCCGCTAGCTGGTCACGGGAGACAAATCTGCAGATCGTCGTCCTCTCCTAGTTCTTTCCCTTGGTAAGGAATTGCTTCCCTTATTTATTGATTGCAAACTCTAAAATGTTCATTTTCAGATAATAAATAGATAATAAAACATCGAAATAGAAGGAAGATGATATATAAAGTGAAAATAATAAAAGAAGAGACGGATAGAGAAACGATAATAAAATGATGTATAAACAGAAAGTAATAAAAGAAAAGATAGATAAATAAAGAAACAATAATAAAAATATAAATAAACAGAAGTTATTGAAAGATAAGGCAAATAAATAAACGACAGTAACAAAAAGATAAATAATAAGAAACTAATAAAAGAGAAGATTAAACGTGTAGATAGAAAGAAATGAATGAGAAGCGTCGATTTCATTAACTTGAAAACCAGACATAAAAGATTGCAGTTCTTTTATGGCGAGATTAATTTTGTAGTCAGGATAGTTATTAATTAGAAATCAATTAAGGGAATTAATGAAGCGGGTATGCTAATATTATTTAAATTTGTTTTTAACTTATTAGAGCTAAAAGCGATGGAAATTAATAATTATATTTAAATGTATTCTGCCATAGCAATTTTGCAAACAAAATAAAATATTGACAGTGCATATTTTTATTTTGTATGACTCTAATTTAAATCTTAATCAATATCATGTCTAGACTCACCTATAATGTGAATAATTTGACAACTACATCTCTTAAAACATAAACTAAATAAACTAAATAAATTTATAACATAAACAAAACAATTTACACAAAACCAACTACATCTCTAAATCTTAAGCTTAAACAAAACAACTTGTGTTTTTAAAACATAAACTCACGTACATTGTTAGATCATAAAGAAAACTAAGTAAACAAAGGTTTCAATGTTGTCACAACATTGTTAATTAAATATTTGGGATGACACAGCTAAAACATGTACCAAGCATAATTTGGGAGAAGTAAATCCAAATGAAAGATACTTTATATATATATATATATATATATATATATATATATATATATATATATATATATATATATATATATATATATATATATATATATATATATATATATATATATATATATATATATATATATATATATATATATCAGGGGCGGAACTACCATACCGCCAGACCCCGCAATGCGGGGGGGGGGGGCCAGGACGTTTAGGGACCCAGTTCCGACCAAAAAACAATGAATTTTTTTTTTCAAAAATTATGTTTTTCATGCATCTTGAAAGTGGTTTTGTAAAAAAAAAAACAGGTCTACTATAGCAGAGATTGTCGCGTAGAAAAATATTTTAAAATCTACAAGAGCTATAGTTTGAAAGGTAGGTAAACAATCACACTACTTCCATGACTTACTGCCCTTCTTTAAAATAGGGATGCCCACGAAGCTCATTTAAATAGTTTTGTACTATGTATATTAAAAA